AATCGACCTTGAGCACCGGCGAAATATCTGAGCGCTTTCAACGTGTTCTCTTTTGATCCTTTGTTGTCCATTACCAACGATTTAATTCTAATGGACCCCAACCATTTAACTAATATCGGTGATTCGTAAGATACGTAAGACAACCGGGATTTGTTATTTCTTGTGCACAGAATAACTTACCCAATTCGTTTGCCCAATTATGAACGAGACTTGAAGGACAGACGATTATACACTTTTCGATTGTTTTTTTGCCTGCTTCAGGTGATTGCTTCAATAAGGTCCACAGAAGAGTTATGCATTGAAGCTAAAAAGTCGTTTTTTTATTCATTAAAATAATTAATTCGATATTAATTTGATTGAAATTTTACAAATACTAAATTCCTTAATTAAAAATAAAATTAGCAATACACACTGTTTTACCGAGACCCATCTCATCCGCCATGATACAGCTGAAGATATAAGAAAAAAAAAAAATAAAATAAAAAAATAATCAAAATATTTTGCTTGAGTGGACACTAACTAAAACTCACCCATGCGCGTTTTCAACCACTCTTCCCGTCGTGCAATTATACAGAAACTGAGTCAAAAAGTCGATTAGAAATTTAATTTCCTGTTAAATACTAAATACTAAAATATTTGATTAAGAATTTTGTCATTGATACCTTTACGCCTTCAATTTGATGCGGTCGAAGTTTATTACCCAGAACAGGATCTAAGCAGCGGAATAAAATAGCAGAATGATGACATCAAGTTTTGTTGACGAACAGCAAATAATTAAATTAATCTTACCAACAACCACGTGAACGATCTTGTTGGCTTCATTCTTGAATCCCAAGATATCTGCTACTGATTTATTTTTGGTCTTAATTTCTTCTTGTTTTGGTTTTACTTCTTCATCATCATTAGGATCATAAAGTACGATTGCATTTGGCGCGTTGGGATCGTGTAAAGGCCCTGATACAACCCGTCTTCGTATACCTGCCAGACACAAACGCTTTCTTAGGCCTCCTTGATCGAACTCAACGGGCGGTTTATTGATAAAGGTTGGGACCCTGAAGGGGTTGCCAAAGATCTTTCTAATTGATTTTGACATAATGAATGCAGAGGTGCTACACGCACTTTTGGATGGGGATGTTTCGTCGG